GCGGCTCCCAACGGCGACACCAACGACGACTCGAACGGCGGCTTGAAGGACCCCCCCTTTTCGACCATGGCCTCTGCTCCTCCTCCTCCTCCTCTTCCTCCTCCTCCTTCCCCTCTTTCCCTGGCCTCCCTTTCACCCCCCCCACATTGACCCTTAGGACAAGTAAGGCGTTGAACTGAGGGCCACTATGGGTACAGGAGGAGCTCTCGCTGTCGGGCCGTTCCTCAGACCTGGGTCAGAGAGCATGTTCGTGGCTAAGGATCGCCGTGGTCAAAAGAGCCCGTTTGTTCCTTCGTCCGCGTTATTTGTGGTAGCGCGAGGACCGAATTCCTGCTTCCTGCTTCTGGTCACTCGTCCTCGTGTCCACCCTCATCCGTCTTCTCGTCTCCGCGAAGCACGAGCGCGGGGCCTTCCCATGGCCGCGCTCGTGCCTAGATCCGACTGGGCGGGCACTTGCCTAAAGATTTTGTGCGGCAGCTGACCCGACGACGCGCGCCCGCAGAAACGGCCCCGCCCCGTTCTTATTTGGCAGCCGGTTGGATACATATACATCTACTATATACAAAACTACAGTTGTTTTCATGTACATATTTGTGTATGTACATATACGTGTACATGTACATGCACATGTATATGCATATGTAAATGTATATTCACAAGTATAAGAATATGTGCATGGCCAGTGACATGTACATGTATATATCCTTGCATGTACGCATGTGTGCATGTATGTATGCATGCATGCATGCAGGCATGCATGTATGTATGTATGTATGTGTATAAGTACGTATGTATGTATGTGTGTATGTAAATTTGTATGTATGTATGTATGTATGTATGGATGGATGGATGTATGTATGTATGTATGTATGCATGTATGTATGTATGTATGTATGTATGTATGTAATGCATGTATGTATGTATGTTTGTATGTATGTATGTATGTATGTATGTATGTGTGTATGTAATGTATGTATGTATGTATGTATGTATGTATGTATGTATGTATGGATGTAGGGATGTAGGTATGTATGTGTATGCATGTATGTGTGTGTATGTATGTATGTATGTATGTGTGTGTATGTATGTATGTGTGTATGTCTGCTTGCCCATTCTATCCGATTCCCGTTTTCCACCACCAAAAAAGGGTGGGGGCCACATGGGAAATGTGTGTTCCGCAGTTTTCGGGTGCATGGTGTGCTATGGAAGCGGTGGTTTGGCTCATGCCCTGGCTGAACGGCTTCCTTCTCTATGAGTGGGGTTCACCTAACGGCCGCGAACGGGGCGTGCGTGAGTCTCAGCATGAGTAAGTCTGAGTAGGAGTAGGTCTGAGTATGAGTAGGTCTGAGTTTGAGTAATTTTGTGTCTGAGTAAGTCTGCGTATGAGTAAGTCTGAGTATGAGTACGTCTCTGTCTGAGTAAGTCTGGGTATGGGGAGGAGAGGGGAGGAGAAGGAGAAGGAGGATAAGTAGGAGGCGTCCAAGTAATGACAAGAACCCCATCTTAGGATATGGGGAATAGCGACTACCACTTATGCGACATGGGGACATCATTGTGCCGCTTGGCGCAAGCGAGGGGTGTGGGGGGTGGCGAGAGCGGGGACAGGAGCAGGAGCGCAAGGGGAGGTGCGGCCAGAGACGGGAGCTGTCTTGCCCCCACCCCCCCCGTGCCGAGGCAGTCGACGTCGCCACTGCCAAGGCTTCGGGGCTGCCCAAGGCGTCCCCACAGGCGCCCGAGCTGCAAGAAGAGAGCGGAGGAGAGAAGGAGGGGAGACGAGGCGGGGCAGGGGCAGGGGGGGGGGGGGAAGTGGGGGGGGGGAGGCGAGGTGACGACTGAGTCGAATGCTTGATAGAGGAACAAGAAGGAGGTACAGGAGGAGGAGGAGGAGGAGGAGGAGGAGGAGGAGGGAGGAGTCGGAGAATTTTCTTTGCCCTCCCCCGCGCCAAGGCCGTCGACGTCGCCACTGCCAAGGTGCCCCCACAGGCACCGCCGCAGGCGCCGGGGCTGCGAGAGGATTATGATGAGAGCACAAGGGGGGTCGAGGTGATCTCCCGGGGGGCGAGGACAGGGAAGGAAAAGGGAAGGGAGGGCAAGGGAAGGTAGCGGGAAGGCGGAAGGAGAGGGGCGACGGGGGAGAGAAAGGGAGTGGGAGTGGGAGCCATGGGGCCGCACACGTGTTACCCCCTCCTTCTCCTTGTCTCGAGGGGCAGGGGGAGGGTGGTAGGTCGTGGCGAGAAGCAGGGGGACGGGAGGGGGAGATGTCCTCCCCCGTTGTCCTCCCGGGGCGGGGGGGGGGATTCACCGCACCGTGCTGACCGCTCGGCACCAGTGGGTGGTCCTCACGGGCGGGCCCCGGGATTCCCGGATCGAGGGCCCGCTTTGGAGTCACGCGATCCTTTCGCAGACGCATGCCGATTCGCGCCGTCTGCTCTGGCCGACCTCGATTCGGCGCGACACGCCAACCACGTCCCAGTCCCCAGGCGTCAACGTCCCGAACTCTTCCCGGCATCGCGCCCCGCGGAGCGTGCAGGGCATGGCATGTCGCCGGGGCCGCCGCCGCGACGCGCTCAGCAGAAGTGCTTGACAGCAACCCCTCGCAGACGCGGATCGGAGCGAGGGCCCTTGTGCTGAAGCCACAGACAATTTTGTCCAAAGCCCGCCGCTGGCGCCGATCGGGCGATGATCACTACGCCTCTTCGCGCATAGGACCAGGCCCACGCGCTGGGGCGCACACCCTCATGCGCACGCAGTGCGTGAAACGTTCAGAGACATAGCTCGCCGCGGCCTCCACCTTTATTCCGTGTGAATGCTCCTCCCTGTCGCACCCCCACCCCCGACGTGTCGATATGGTGGGCCAGGCGTTTCGCTTGAGACTTTTCAGCGATCTTGAAGCTTGGAATTCGCAACACTTTCACTGATTGAGGGCCGATGGTTTTCAACATGTGGCCTTCGCACCGCCGCGCACATTCATCTTCAAAGTTAGCAGCATCTTCGCGGAAGAAGGGCGGGTGATTCACAAAATGTGGCTCTCGCTTCAGCGCCGTGCGCATTCGCTTTAAAAGTTTATAGCAGGGTCAAGGATAGAGGGTGGGTGGTTTCCAAAACATGGTTCACGCTTGAGCCTCGCGCCCATTCGTTTTAAAAGCTTGCAGTTGTTTCATGGATGGCGGGCGGGTGTTTTTAAGACTGTGCCCTCGCCCATCGCAGTGCACATTCGTTTCCACAGTTTACAGCCGCTTCAAAGACCCAGGGCGGTTATGTTTCTAAATGTAGTTTTCGCTTTGGTGCCGCGCACATCAGCATCTTCAAGCATGGAGGGCGGATCGTTTTCAAAATGTGGCACTCGCCGTAGCGCCGCACACGTTTGTCTTCAGAGTTTACAGCCCTTTACGGGCTCGTACTGCTAAGTCCAGAAATGGTATGCTGCACCCGTAGTTGCAAAGTCCCACAACTTTTGTTATTGCACGGCGTCGGATCGACAGGACGCGACTGTGTTCGAAGTTCGAGGAGTTGTGTGTTCGGCATAAGTGAGGATTCTCAGACGTTTGTCGTACAACGGGGCACTGCCGGCAGAACGTAAACATTGTTGTAGGGACCTACGAAGTGGGACATTTGAGGGATGACGTACAACAACATCGCTGACGCGTCTGAGGTTTGCACTGGTTTTCCTTTTCCTCCTCCTCCTCCTCCTCCTCCTCCTCTCCCTTTTTCCCCTTAATGGCTGAAAGCAGATCCAACAGCAGTGGCGGCATCGATAGATCGGACAATGGACATTCTGAACAACTTCCTGAAGTTGGTGCAAGACAGCAGCGAGCACAGCCAGGCCATTGTCACAGAGACTGTCAAGATGTGCAAGGTCAGCGAGAGCTACAAGGTGCGCAACAACAGTAACAGGAACCCGAACGAGGGCGAGCAGGAGTTCCTGGGATGAGGGCACAAGCAAGATCCAGATCGGCATCAACGAGTCCCCAAACTTCAGGGCAATGCTCCCGAAGGACACGAAAGAAGAAATTATGGCGAAGCTGGACCAGTTCGCGGGCCACAACCTGAGGATGCCAGTGGGGATGCTGATCGTCTACGCGGGAGGCAAGATGTCCCAGTCGGCGGCGCCCAATTCGGAGCTGGAGGGTATGGTGGAGCGGGAACTGCAGCGTCGGCGCCTCTGAGGACGGAAGGGGTAGATGCATTAACGAGGCTATCTCGGAGCGCGAAGACCCCAGGGCAGAGCGCCAGGCCGCAGCTGTCGCGGACAAGCACATTCACTGCACCTCCGACGGCGCCAGCATCGAGCACTGAGGGAGCCGCCCTCGGGGAGCCCCCCCCCGGGCAGTTCGGCATAGCTGGGGGCAGGGAGAGGCATCTTTCAGAGGAGGAAAGAATAGCGGAGTCAATCAGCATGGACCTTGAACGCTTCACAAAATTGCCTTAAAAAATCGAGCAGAACTGGAAGCGGAGTTCCAGAGAAATGCCCGGAGGAAAGGCCTCTTCGGCAACAGGCCGTCCACCCGCTCTTGTCAGTGACCGGCACCACCTACGATGACGGCACGACTTTTCTTCTTTCTTCTAATCCGTTACAGGTGCGGAGTGATGGTGGGCGGGGTATTTTGCATACGGTACAGCATGCGCACAATGTATAGGCGGGTCCCGGTCAGTGGGGGGACATGGGACCAGCGTGCATGGTACTGCGCGAATATCGGGGCAGATGGGGAATTCATTACCACCTCCATCGATCATATTCAGATCGCACAGCTGATCTGTATCAACGACGGCCCAGGTGCGCAGCGTTGCGCACTAGCGAGGATTCCCGGAGCGCGCAATACGGGAGGCCACCCATGGCTTTCACGTGCAGCAACCAGCTATTGCCCTGCGGGCGTTGCAACAAGGGGTTCGGGTACTCTCAAGATGATCGAGGGCCACAGGGCACACGCAAGAAATGAGCCTGGTCGTGAAGAACTCCAGGGGGCAACGGCAGTCAATGGAAGAGGGTGCGCATCGATTGCGTGCTGGAGCTGAGGCAGGAGGAGTGGGATGAACGGAGCGACGAAGAGAAGACACTACATGGAGGAGAGCAGCCTTTTTCGAGAAAGCAGGTCTGCCGAGAACAGAAGAGGAAAGCAACGTGAGTCGCGCGGGCAGCCCAATCATCGGGGCAGATCAAAGCGGCGCAAGCGCTCTTGGCGGAAGAGGAAGGCCAAAAGAAAGAGTCTCGCAATGCGCGGAAGAAGTAGGCCCGGGAGAAGTCAAAGGTGATGGCAAAGGCGCTGCTGGAGGGCATCAACATGAATGGAGGCATCTTTGCAGCATGCATTCAGTAAAGCAGGAGAAATCATGACAGAGGCTTTATGACGCGCCGAGAACAAGTACATGGCAATGGACATCAATGACGAAAATACATTGAAGGCAGCCAACAAGTCAGAGATGGGGACTAACAGAAGGGGCTGCACGAGATGGACGACTACAAGACGGCGAAGGACATGGGGGGAAAACAGTCGGCGCACCTCAAGGTGCCGGACTTCACGGACAAGTGGGGCGACAACATAAAGCTGTTCATCGAATGCAGGAGAATCACAGGATTGGGCGAAAAGGCTTCGCCTGCTCGCGCGGGCTTGCCTTCCCAAACAAGTTGCGTTGGAAAGGCCCCAGTGCCCAGTCGAGAGGGGACAAGTGGCAGTTCCCGTGCAAAGTGGACTGGTCGCAGATCGTCAAGGCGCAGCAGAGCCACCCAGAAGAAGAGCTCATGAAATAATGGCGATCGGCGATAACTGGGAGGGGGGGCCAGACTTCGGGCGCATGTCGAAGTTCCTCCCGTTCAAGCGTGGGCCGTCAACGGCGGTAGAGCTCAAAGTGGGAGGTGGTTGGGAAGCGCTCGTTTCGGAAAGGCTTCCGCAGCAGCTAGACGACGCCATCAAGGAGTGCCGCTACAAGTTCTACGGCGCCGCCCAGAAAATGAGCCCAGACAAGCTTCTCGAGCTGCTCCCCGCGGCCTTCCCGATCGCGCACTCACTGTGCAGAGCTGGTGTGAGTTGGCGCTGAATATTGCATGGGATGACGAAGAGAACCTCCGCGAAGTCATGAAGATCGCCATGAAGGAGCTGACTAGCGAGGACAGGCTCGACCCTGAGGAAGTGAAACAGGTTCAAAAAGCGCGCGGACCCTGCTAGGATGGCACCGAGACAGAAGCGCGCAGACCCAGCGCGACAGGAGCTACGAGACAGCACGCAGACACTGCAGGATGGCACCGAGATCTTCGAGGGAAGGTTCGCCTACCCCAAGTCGGAGGAGACGGCGGCGGCCAGCTCCTCCAGCGGCCACCGGCGAGAGCACCCACTGGAATCAATTGGGAAGCCAAGAGATGCATTAGCGAGGTTTTCTCGGAGTGCTACTCTGGGCGAGCTGGACGAGCCCGCTGGCAAGCCCAAGAGATTCAGTAGCGAGGTCATCTCGGCGTGCTACCCTAAGCAAACAGGACGGGCAAACACGGAGTGATCGCTCTGTCATCGTCATGGGAAGTGTTTTTTGAGTGCCGACGGGCGCGCTACTGCAGGGCGATGAATGGGGGGGGGGGGGGAGTGATCATCACGAGAACCACCGGCCACGGCGCTTCCTCGAGGGCCCCACTTACCACGTGCTGTGACTTCCAGTATGCTTTACCGCACATGCACTTCGAGGGGGAACAGTGTGATACTTCAACAGGGTGTCAGAGTACAGATACGACAATGCATGGGACAACTACCGGCCAGTTCGATGTGGAAGAGAAGTGAGCCGAGCGAGAGAGAAGAGAATACGATATCTTAAAATTAGTAGGTAATTCGGCCCCCCAGCAAAAGTTTGGGAAGCACGGCCTCCCGACCCTATCCCCCTCCTCCTTTCGAATTGTCGTGTCGTCGTATCCTCCCCCCTAACTTGGGCACCCTGCTAGACCCGCCCGCCCGACTGCCTTGGGTACGCGGGTGGGCCAGCAGCTGCTCCCCCTGCGCTGGCCCGCAGGGGCTCGCGA